GACATATGAAAATATGTTTACCTCAAATGTGTTTGTCACCCCCCCCCCCATTTTCATCCTATTCCCCCTCCTCTCTTACAATTTATATACCCTGAGAGACAGGCATTTATTAATGAAAAGTATCAATGTCAAGTACTTCTCCCCCCTTTCATTCTCAGCTTTTCCCAAGGGGTTGGGATTAAATCTATGGCTGACAGAGATTTGCTGCAAATGCAAAAAATGATATGAAAAAAGTTAATCAGTTGAACATAAATATTAGTAGATTTTGTGGTTTCTTAAAGAATGTCTTGATCCGTTATCAATTCACCATTGGCCAAAGATTGCAATTTCATTTTATTTGCACCTTGTACTGTTCCTATATAAAAATGATTAGTCTTTCAAATGGCAATTATTCAATGTGTCATTGCACTATACAAGTTAATAGCGATCATCTGCTGATCGGAGATTTGCCATTTAATATCAGCTAGGAATTGTCTACATTTCAACAGCCTTTGTCTCCTATAGAGAAGTCAAGTATTGTGATAATCTGAGAGGTGTATCAGAACCATTTGAGGGTACACAATCATCCAAAAGGGGTATGACAGAACTCTTGAGGGGTTGAGGGGTATAAGATAATCCAAGAGGGGTATGACTGAACCATAGAGGCATAAGAAAGATTGAGAAAGTCAAAGGCATAATATAATTAAAGAACTGGTAGTAAATTAATAGGCATTAGCAGGCAGAATGTCATTTATTGTCTCTCTCTCTGGATTGCAGTGTTTAATTAACTCTTGCACAGCTATAATGCCATCCCCTCAGAGATAATATGTGTCAACCTACAGTCAGAGATCTTTCAATAGCATCAATTATTGAACATGTTGTTCAAGATGAAAATATTCAGTTTGATTATTATACCAAAGCAACAAACTCTTTTTTGCAGACACCAAGCATTTTACTCTGTTTACTGGTAGTGACAGAATATTTACTGGTATGGAGACCATATTTGCAGGAATTGATACAATACATTGACACCATAACCATTGATATTGACACATTACCCACTTGTATCCACACAAAATTTATTGGTAATGACAACATGTAATTACACTTTACAAAACAACAGCATACCTTGATGGCAATGTAAAATACAAGGTGATATAGAAATTGTAGCATAATTCCTGTTCTAATTGTTGTATGATTACTGCCACAAGCAAGCTGAATCAAACCTGGATATATCAAGACACCGAATGTGTTTACAATAACAACCATTGCTAGTCTTATTGATTTAATAATTAAGAAGTCTCAGTGTTGTATGAAAGGGTACTTCTTATGATAGCTATATACAGACAAATCACTGTCTTTGTAGTATCATTCACATTGTTTGAAACTGTTTAATAGACAGATGGTCTGTGATATCACTTTAAGAGAAAGCAGCATCAATTAAGATAATTGAATCAGTTTTATTATAGTTTGTATGCAGATTGCTTCAGAGTAGAGATGAAGCATCTTGAGATGAAGATGTGAAGATTAGTGTTTAACAGGAGCTTCATCGAGTTTAAAGGCTAACGTTTTACTTTCCCTTTCTCAATGAGTTTAAAGGCAGATCTCTAACTCTCCCCTTTTCAACAAGTTCAAATGCCAATCTTTAATCCACCTTTGTCAATGGATATAGGGCCTAATGTGAAAATAAACCTCTCTCAATGAATTCAATGCCCCTAAGAAATACCATTTTGTTTTGATCTCCCAGAGGATATCCAGAGAAATCCTAAAGTTTTGATCCCAAGATCCTTATAGTCAATACTACAATATATGTTTTCCACAATTTCTATTATTGCCTGGCCAATGATACATTATTACATGAGATAATACATAGTATGGATTAAATATATGGGTTGCAATAATATATGTTTATGTTAGATTGAAAATATATTAGATCGTAATGGAATGAAATCCATTGAAACAAAAAGCAATTAGATTAATTGCACAAGCTCAATAGATAGATAGGATTTAGTTTATGAATAATTCTTTATTAGTGTCACAACTTCATAGAAACATTTACTTGTATTTTTCAAAATGTTTCCTCATTGTGCTTTGGATTGTCAGATACAGTATAAGAAAGTATGATTTCAACAAATGAAACATGGCAGTGATCTCCCCAGTGTTGAACCAACTGGATGTGCACAGCAGGCCCGTAGCCAGGGGGGGGGTTCGCAGGGTTCGGGCGAACCCCCCCCTGGCCAAAAATTCTTTCAAAATCATGCAGTTTTTGACCATTTTGAGCACTTCTCTAGTGATTTAGCCTAATTTGGGCCAAAATTGTCAAATGTGAACCCCCCCTGGAAATTTTTGAAAATTGAACCCCCCTTGGCAAATCCTGGCTACGGGCCTGCACAGTGTATGGAATCTCATGTGCAGCATGTGGAAAAATAAACTCAAGAGAAATAATTCCCACCATGTTCCATCCAGTTTTAATTGAGTAATACCCAGTTAGGAAACAAGAAATTGCATAAATGTCAGCAGTTTTATTCTTGCCAGTTAATAATTAATTGATACCTTGTGAAATACAATGTTAGCGTAGGATATATATTATATACTGTAGTATATTGGTTTAGGTTTGATGATAACTGTTCAATTAATAAGCAAGTAAAATGAAAGAGATACGCCTTTTGAGTCATGAATGGTGGCAAAGTACCTTTTAGGTGTTGTTCAAACAATTAAACACCAAGTATAGACCAGATAAGGAAACTAAGTATTATTTTGACGCTAAACGTAAGTTGGGGTTCTGGAGGGGTATGATATTGTCATTTACCATAGTTCCTTTTTATCTAGCACTTTTCTTAATTCAAGAGATAGATAGAGGCTGTGATTGCTACAATCGGTGACATGACATAATGTAGGTATAAAGACATTGATCACCAAGTATTGAGACAAGGGGTCTCAATTTACCATTTAGTTTGTCAACCACTTGATAACATTTTATGGAGGACTTTGAAACATAATGTTTTTCTTTTTTATCAGACTATCAAGTAGAGCCACATACAAACTTAAATATGCAGATTGTTGAAAGTATGAATTATTATATAGGTATGTGTTTTACAGAATGTTTAATGTTTTGATTATTTTGTGGTTAGTAATTCTATTTTTGTCATGTACTTTGTCTATTTGCTTTAAAGAGATGATATTTATTATCATATCAAGTGCCTTGATAATGTACTAATACATGCTGAAGTCCTATAATATACATGTTATACTACTAATGTATAAAGGGCTAACAGTGACATTGGCCATATATTTAAAGATGGGTATGTTTTATGAGAAGTACACAGTCAAACCTTTTAAGTGGAACACTTCTGTAAGTGGAACACTTTTCCAAATCCCAAGACCAATTTTAAATGAACCTCTATAAGTAGAACACCTTCCATAGGGGACACTTTTCACAGTCCCAAGACAAACTGACTTAATGTTAAATGAACCCACCTGCCAGGTAGAATACTTTTCAGAGGTACCAAATGTGTGTCACTTGGGCAGGTTTAGCTGCATGTCTATATTAATATATTGAACTTGAAATTGAATGTTTCTTCTGACTACAATAGCCACATCCTTGCAGAAATATATCATAGCCAACTCATAAAAATCACACATACCATCATTAAATATATAACACTTAACAACAATGAGTCTTACTGGTCTATAATTCATTTATATATGGTATATAAATGCTTAGGTTGGCAGTAAACTAAGAAAAGCTGTGATAATACACTTGACTTTTGTAGACAAATGAAAGGGATACCTATAATAGATCACACATCCACATATTATAACTATGTATTCTCTGTTGTATACAACTATTGATTTTGTTCCACGATTATTGTCTTTCAAGTGATAAATGAATTTTCCTGGAGATATATCTTACATGAATCTAACAATCTTCAAATTTCTGTATTATCTTTGTAAATGACACCAGTAGTGTGCGCAGTGTCTTTAGTAGTAGGTGTTCTAATTAAGACTGTGTTGGATTCTCTTTATGTCTATGAATGGTAGTTATCAGTGAATTGTGATTGTTTGTGAAGGATATGAGTTAGTTTAGTTGTGAAGCAGACCCGATGTTCTACATATTGGGAATTCTATTCTACAAGATTGTATTGATGTTAATAACCCAACAGTGCTATATGAGCTATTGATTCAGTCCGATCTAGTCTCTGCTTGTGGCCCTGCATCGATTGGATACTTCTTTAATTTCTAGAATTGGTCTAGCTCATAAAAGTAGACTAAAAAAGTATTACATGGGGAATTATCATCAGTTGGATGATTTGATGAACTGCCGCTCAGTGTCTCCTTATTCTGGCTATTGATTGGCTTATCATTTAAGAAGCATTGGAATGAAATGAATTGACCATATTCCTATATGATATGTCGCCTCATTGTATCTAACAGCTTGTTAACTACATATTCATGCAGCAAGCAGCAGGAGTCGTAGGATGAAAATGTAACATAGTAGTAGGCAGAAAGACGTCATGATATTAATTAATTTGTTTATAGGAAGATCCAGGAAGCTCATTGTGTGACATTCATTAGTTACGCTTTAATGGTGTTTGTTAGGGTTGAACAAAAATAATTTGCGGGAAAGTTTCACCTGATTATCGGGGATCAATTGTTGTGTTTTCTAATCCTGATTTAATTAGGATACAAAGTTAAGAGATGTTAACTGGAGGGTTGTGTCCCAGAAGCCCCGGTAGACCTATTATTCAATGTTACTAAACAAAGGAGGATGTTCCCAGTTATCTCAGTAGATCTTTTATGAGTTATTCTCAAAAAGTACAGGAGGATACATTCCTATAAAATATACCTCTCACATGTAATGCAGTCTCAAAATGGCACAATTGATGCAATTCACCTTTTTTTATTTATATGAGTCACTTTCCTGTTCTTGTGACTGTGCATTTTTAATTGAGCTGAATAGTATACAACATTATTACTGAGTAATTCAAATGACCAATGATGTAATATCTATGTGCTTTCAGCTATGCTGTCACTATGGTGTGAAGATCTCGGTAGATTATTACTCTTACGTCACCAGAAAAGTCGTGGCGGAGAAAGTGGCTCACTTCCTTCCACCAATTTACAGTCCCTTCAAAACAAACTTCCCCCAGTCCCACCGAGGTAAGCTGGTCTCAATTCAAACTCCTCTAAAATAATATGAATGACAATTCATAATTTGTCCATACATCCATAATAAGTTATATCTCAAGAAAATGTTAAAAATCAGGAATTGTAATCAGAGGTATTAGGGTATTTTCTAATATTGGCTTCTTGAACACTTTCAGTCAAAATATATTCCTTAGATGGCTTTTACAGAATATTTTGTACATATTTTCTACAAGTGTATTTTGTTTTGTATTTTTCATTGTTGAATTCATAGCAAAAACAAACCAAAAATAATAAGAGAGGTCATTGTTGAACTTCATAGACCTCTCTTATTATTTTTGGTTTGTTTTTGTAGTGATCCTTCAATGAATTGGAACCAAGGTCCCCAGAATGATGGCACCCAGCAGCAACAGTCTCTGTCAGTGGTGACAACAGTCTGGGGTGTTACACAGACCACTCAAAGTGGACCTACCACTCATCAACCAGGTAAATATAAGCCTGGGGTGTTACACAGACCACTCAAAGTGGACCTACCACTCATTAATATGTAGAATAGTTCACTATTCATCCATTTAGGAGTTACTAGTACCTTGTAGGTCAGAAATGATGTGATCATACAATAAAGTCTGAAGTGCTAATGAAAATCAAAAATCTGAATAAGTTTTTGAATTATTTGAAGTTATAAATCCAATTCTAATGTGACTTAGTTTATTCTTCAGGGATGCCTGGCTTCACAAATACGTCCAAAGCAAACAGCTATGGTCCCCCACTACAGGGGTTCCCCAGTCAGTCCATGCAAAAGCCACCTTATAACCCACAGCAGGTTGGCCCTTACAGACGAGACTCAGGCAACTACAATAGACCAAAGTGAGTATACCAACCACCATCATTAACAACATGAAAATAAAGATGAAATGAAAATTTGTGTGTATTACAATTCAATATATCCAAGGTCCTGAAGAAAAATTGCACAAAAACAAGAAATCATTTTTTTCTTTTTTTGGCTTCGTTTTGAGCCTACAGAATCCCCACTCATCCGTCTGTCGGTTTTTATTAGAGAACGCCTCCATCCATTCTTTCATCCATCCAGGGCAATGACACACACTGTCCAATGGTAATTTCGCTGATATAGCACCCATTTTATGGTTTTGCTATATTGTACTTGAAAAAGTATTGGAGTGAATTTGTTGATATTTTACTGTACTTTGAAGCATGAAAAGCTGTTTATATCACATATAGGATTTATTTATTTGTACTGAGGCCCTAAGGCAAAACATACATCCAACAATACATAAAATAATACAATTTTACAAGTACAGAAAAAATAGTAATAAAGTAAAGGAAATGAAAATAGATTCATTACAATACATATATAATATTATTTTCATATAAGGATCCTATTGACAATTTGGCTAGTTGGTTGCCATTTTGAAAAATAACAGCTATTTATATATCCAACATTTTTACTTATTTTTTGCTTTGTTAGGTAAAAATGATACAACAGAATAAGAAAACATGTTAAAGGAAACTATAAGACATGCTAGAAACCAGTGCACATGTAAGGGAAACTAAGACACACAATACTATTTACTATTTTTGATTGTAGCTATCCTTTAACTCCGAATACACCAGGGTCTCAACCCCAAATGAACAATAATGGAGAGGCTGGATTTCAACCACCTCCAGGTGCACTAAGTGCGGCTGCGTTAGTTGCAGCTGCGGCTACAGCCACAGCCACGGCTACTGCCACTGCCACAGCACAGATGCTACAAGAACAACAGAACCCACAGCAGAATCCTCAAATGCAAATGAACATGAATGTGAATATGAATACATATGGAGGCAATGCTCCTCAGGTATGTAGGCCATGCCTCCAGGCATCAACTTGCACCATAGCTGAAACTTAAAATGCATGGAAATAATTTTCATGCATTTTATTTATTTATTGATAACCTTTTAATTCTTCACGTAAATCAAAAACATTTTGATATTCAGTGAACATTTTGTTTTTGTGGAGAAATTCTTTTTCAGCTTTGCATATATTTTTGCTTTTTGATTAATTAAAGTATACTGTTTACGCAACTTATAATGCTCTAATAGTGGATTCACATGATAGTGTTCAATATTTCTCCACAAATTCTGTGAAAGGTTGAATTGAAACAAATGATAAACAGAATGAAAAGTTCCTTCAATAAGGCAAATCTACAAATCTTCATTTTCACTTCCCCAGAATATCAATAGTGAATTCAGCAGAGGAATATTCCTAGAGATGCTCTAATGCGACTTAATAAGGATCACACTTTGTGTTATATAAAAATTAACGTAACCAATATTTAATTATTGATATTCATCAATTGTACTGATATAACATGGGAGTCGAAATAGGCCACAGGGACACTCATCCCTTTTCTGAAACATTGACATTTTCAAGTTTCTTTTCTGTTAAACACATCAATAAGATGAAACTAACAGAGGAAATATATAATATACTTGATGTGTGTTACATATTTGTTGTTGATATGATTTATTTTAATAAATATCATACATCGTATAATGGAGTATTCAATATGCGATAAATATTTTCAATGGGAAGTCATAAAATAGTTGTAACTATTGTTTTATCTCTTTTAATGATGATAGCTATTTGACATGAATTTCAGACATTTCATATATGTTTCCTATCTAGTATGCACTTTGTCATGTCTGTTTACTATATTCCTTGCTCATTTCACTCATTTTCAATCAATGTTAAATTTGAGAAGATTACTCCGATTGCATTGCATTCATCCATGGAAAGACACAATATGGTTCTTCTTTGGCTTATTTTAAATATGATATGCCCAATATGAATAATTTCATCATATTCTAGCAAATTGTTGTTCAATTTTGTTCATATATATTTTTTTATATGAGGAACATTTAATATTACATGTACAGGGTGTCAAATAAATATGTTCTCCCCCCTAATTTCAAGAGTGTGAACGTTTGTGCATAGATGTACATCTAGTTGAGCTAGTCATCTGAAACTTCTTGTAGAGTTCCTCCATGAAGCCTAGTTTTAATGTATAAAGACCAATTCAGATATCTTGCAGACAAAAAAGTTATGCAACATTATGTGAATGTTAGAGTTAATTGGGGAAACCATATTAATGTCACATAATCTAAACAATTATACATTTCATATGTACGAGTATATTGTAAAATGTGTTTATGTTAATAATTTTTCACGTTATATGTGTTTACTCTTCACTATCTCTTTAACTATAGTGTCTGCATCTTTAGTGAATTAATTTTCCTTTTTATGCTCTATAAATCAGATGTCTTCAAACATAAAAATCTCAAATGAGAAATCTTTTATATGTCATTATCCCATATTATTTTTAGATTATAGACTATTGTTAAAAATAGTTTATTTGATATTTCAAGAAACACAGCATCAGTCAATATTATTGATTTGTACAATAAAGCATTGTTCAATTTTCTGGCTTCTCATTTCTTACAAATCTCAATACTGTATCATTGAATGACTTCCAATTAAAAACTCCATAGATTCCTTACACTCTACACTAATATGAAATGAGAAAACATTCTATTTGGTCAATGCTGACAATTTAACTGCAAGTGGCCAATCAATTACACACATATTTTATATTTGTGCTGATTGTGTTACATTATTTGTACATGTGAATATATTTCCTTTGTTTTATAAAAGAGAAAATAGTATAAAAGTGACAAAATATTGATATTTGCACATACTGTACTATAAACATAATTTGTAGGGTTCCTATTTTCTATTTGCCCAATGAAACAATCTACTTTTCCGAAGAGAAATTGATAATCATGAGAACATCAGAGAGGTGTCTGTGTAAGTCTTACTGCATTATGGTGTACATGTTCTCTTTTGCTTAATTGCAGATGCAAAATGGACAATATAATAATATGAACCAATATGGGCCACATCAAAGGCCTACAGGGCCTGGATCTATGGGGCCTATGGGACACCAGGGTCCACCTGGTGGGATGCCAGGTCAAGGGATGCAAGGTGGGCCAGGGATGCAAGGTGGGCCAGGAATGCAAGGAGGTCCAGCGATGCAAGGTGGTCCAGGGATGCAAGGAGGTCCAGGGATGCAAGGTGGACCAGGCCACCAAATGCAAGGTGGAGGCCCTGGGCCAATGATGAATAAAAATAGTGTGAGTGGAATGTATGGGGGTCAGCAACGACGACCTGGTCCATATCCCAACCCCCAGCAGTATATACAACACAAGCAACAAGCCATGAGAGGGGTGAGAATATATCTATTTCATTTCAGATTGATTTACTTCATCTGTTCAAAAAAATGTTATGAATATTTATTTAAAAGAATTTAAGCCTTTTTTTAAGAATTGATTTACAATCTCAAAATATAAACCACAGAGACATGTTCAATAACATTCATAGACATACATCTACATTTTGTCTACATATACTTCTGCTAATATAATAATTATCAATTATTGATTCATTTTCAGCAATACCCACAGTACCCTAATGGTGGACAATATGGGGGCCCAGGAATGAAGCCCCAGTACCAACCAGGGCAACAGCCCATGACATCACCCACAGCATATGGGCCAGGAGGTCGACCCCCAGCTCCCCCATACAATCAGGCAATGGGGCAGTCAATGGGGCAGTTTGGTCAGGGAGGTCCCAATTATCGACAACCTGCACAGTATAATGGAGGCTACAATGGAGTCCCAACAGTGAGTTTATATGTTGATAATATGTTACATTGAAACATTTTCATTGGATGTGCTCATTACTTGAACCTAGAAATCATCTTTATTCATGGTACTATGAATGGCAAAAATGAGGAGGGATTTTAAGAATACTTTGAGTATTATTATATATTTATGTCTGTTTCTCCATTTGTCTGTGCATGTGTGAGATGAATGTTCCACCAACGGACTGTTGTGGTCACATCTATGAATCAGTTATGAATTTCATGTTACATCACATTAAACAATATCATCTAAAAAATCCCTCTCGTCATGTTATAAAAAAATAGTTCAAATATCAATTCAGCTTTGAGGAATCTTTATTAGGATCGGGTTCCTGTCTATTTAGAAATGCTAGAATTTAATCTAGGCACCTCTTTAGAAATAAATACAGAGTATTGGGTGTGAATGAATAACGTTGACATGTCATTGTAACCTATTGGTAATATCGATGTTGTGTCATATATTGAAATGTATCAATTAGGTTTATAATGACTTAGTAATTCTGACAAATGAGTTTTATATTCACATACTAGATATGCAATTTTCAATTTCAGATAATTATCTTGAATAGTACCTAGTCTCTAACAATATCTAAATATAAAAGTTTTTGAATGGAATAATTACATTTTCTTAAAAACCATGAAATCTGTATACTGCCATCTTTTATACATAACAGGAACTATATTGTTTTTTTCAGCCTAATATGCCACCTGCCATATATAATCAACAGTGTTCACCACTCCCTCCCCCAGGGAATCCGACCCCACCCATGACCCCGGGTTCAAACGTACCCCCCTACATGTCACCCCCTCATGGAGGTATACAACAACAAGGAGATATCAAACCCAATATAGCCAATATTAATATTAAAAAAGGTAATATTATGTTCTTATGTAATGAAACTACATACATATTGCAATGTTAATAATATCTAGAATATTTTATTATAAATAGATTTTTCATAACATTTGTTTTGTATTCTTGTATGCATGAAGATGCCTCAAAAATGGAGTTTTGTTTCTATGCACTATGTATATCATACATGGAATTATGTTTCTATGGCAACATTGTATATCCTACAGAGTCTGCCCCAGATGAACTGAGGCTGACGTTCCAAGTGAGAGATGGTATAGTGCTGCACCCCTTCCGCCTGCAGCATAACCTTGCGGTCAGCAACCACGACTTCCACTTAAAGGACTCCGTCTACCAGACATTAATGTGGAGGTAATGAAATAAACTAATAAACGTCATTTGGTACAATTTTGTAGATAAAGAGGCCACTTCGTTAACGTTTCCTGTCCGGGACGGGGTTATCTTGGCCCCGTTTCGTGTGGAGCATAACTTGGCTGTCAGCAATCATGTATTCCATTTACGGAAGTCGGTTTTCAAGACTCTGTTGTGGAGGTATGCTGTATACATAGTCTTACATGCTATTGCTCTTGAGGCATCGCCAGTTTTATTCCTTGGTGGCATATGAGAGACTTTATTTACTTTTTCAAAAACATTTAGATCACTTTTTGCCTTATTACACTTCCTATGTCAGCAAATCAAGGATCAAAGGCTCATTATCATCTTGTAATGTCAAAGGGTACACTACACAAATATTTACAATGAGACTCGGTGGAAATATTTGCATTGGACAGTCTTCCATTTGGAGGATGAAACACAAAGGTTCTGAAGTCTCGAGTGACGAAATCTGCTTGATGTTAATTGGTTAGATACGGTCACATGACACCTTTTTTATAGATAAATGCCTCCAAGAGCTTATTCTTAGTCAAGCAGACAATAATAGAAATTGATTTTAAGTTATAAATATAACAAATGATTGCATCACTGTGAGATGTAAAGCTTGATACCATTAATGTGCAAGTTAAAATAACAAACATACATAGCTCCCTAATTGTCATTGCTTATAACATAAACAGAATAAAACTGTCTACAATCAATACCAAGCTCAAATGACAAGTTCTACATATTTAACGCAAAAACATAAATGGGATCTGGGTCTATATTATAGCTTGTTTCAAGTGTCAAGTATTAATGTCTGTTAAATGTGTGTTTTCATAATATTGCTGTCAATTTTCATTTTGCCTTTGCTGATGAATAGTACACATTTAGTCAGGTAGCAGTTTATTGACATTTTATTATCTCACTTCCAACTGTAATCAACTTAACCATCTAGGAAAAATTTACATTTTCATGTATTATGAATGTATCAATATTATTCACTTTGATACATAGTTTACAAGCACCTTATAGTCAGTATCACCTGCTGTTAAACATATTATTTTATATTATGTGTTTTTATTATTTATTTGTTTATTTAAATATGTATATTCACTCTTGTGTAAATTGATATTTTGACCTAATTTATTTTAGATAACAATTTATCATAGAACTCCCACGGATTTTGTTAATTGCTGTTTAAATATTAAAACTATTGTTGTAATGTGTATTTCTAGGTCTGATTTAGAGCTACAGCTTAAATGTTTTCATCATGAGGATCGACAGATGAACACCAACTGGCCTGCAAGTGTCACAGTGAGCGTCAATGCGAATCCATTGAATATAGAAAGGGGAGAGAATAAGACTTCCCATAAGCCACTTTACCTCAAAGATGTGTGCCAGCCTGGGAGAAATACCATACAGATCACAGTCACAGCATGTTGTTGTGTAAGTCTATTAATCTTGCAAGAAATTGTGTGTTGTGTTTTGTATGTCACTTGATTTGATCTTCAAACTATAGATCTTTAAGAAATCTGTTATGTGTGTTATTTCTAAGAATTCCAAAAAGGCATTCTGTTTACTTCAAGACTTAAATTCAAATTTAAATTGAGCTTATTTATTTGGAGAATTAAAATAGTTAAAAATATAAAAATGAAAACCAGAATATCAGATGACTGTATTGAGAGACCACAGGCTTCTATCAGATCATTCTAGTTTGAAACAGAAAGGTATGATGAGTTGTCAGAATGAGATCCTAGAATTATAAATGTAGGCCCATCTTCATATTTTACCATACAAAATATTGAATTGTTGTTTCTATTTTTCAGTCACATTTGTTTGTCTTACAACTGGTCCACAGGCCGAGTGTTCGGTCAGTGCTACAGGGGCTGTTAAGGAAACGTCTTCTGCCTGCTGAGCATTGTATTGTAAAAAGTAAGTCAACGGGGCTTATTTTCTTAAGACTATGCAAACATGAAGATCATGATTTCAAATATGAAAAGATGTGCGAACAATTTTGAAATTAGGGTCTGATTTAATTTTGCTGAACAAAGACTTTCTTCCATGAGCTATAATTGTATAACATTTCACTGTTTTTGAATTTCACTAAATTAGGATATATAGTTTAATGTTTCCACTTATACAAAACTGTTTGTATTTCATTTAATATTTCTGTTTTCTAGTAAAACGTAACTTCAACAGTGTTCACCCAAGCAGCAATATGAATGGTGGAGATGGGGATGGCGTGGAACAGACTGCCATTAAAGTCTCATTAAAATGTCCGATTACGTTCCGGCGGATAACATTGCCTGCAAGAGGACATGAATGTAAACACATCCAGTGCTTTGATCTGGAGTCCTACCTACAGTTGAACTCTGAGAGGGGAGCATGGCGATGTCCAGTTTGCAAGTATGTCATCGCTTTGAAAAAATCTATGCTTTTAGTCATCTTGTTCTTATAAAGATGGCACTGGCTGAATTATATTTCATTTCTACTCTTATCAGCTTTTCTAGGCTGTATATGCTTTATCTGAATATAGATTCAGAAGATAGCATTGTTCCATCATGAAAGCTTTCGAATGATTTTATGAATTAAATTAGTTTTACTCCACAGGCAAAATTTTTAATTACTAATCCACTGGTAAAGCGGTGCCTTCCTGATTGAGTGTCCATTACAATATACATGATATATTTAATTTGATTGTATAATTTACAAGTATGTTATAATTTGACTCTATAGTATATGCTGCAATTTTACTATTTTGCAGTAAAACTGCTCTCCTTGAGGGGCTAGAGATTGACCAATACATTTGGGGCATCTTAACCAATCTAAATAACACAGAGTTTGAGGAAGTTACTATAGATGCCTCTGCCTGTTGGAAACCAGTGTTTATAAAAGAAGAAATCAAACAGGAGGGAGGGACAGAGCTGTCATGTGGGGCAGGGGCAGATTCGAGATGGATGAAAGCTATGTCTCCTGCTAGTATGCAAATGCCCAATATGCAGACCTGGGACCCCTCAGCACCCCCTAACCCATATAATAACATGCCCCACACACCTCAACCTATGCCCGGAGGTAAGAAAACTTAAAAAGCATTGAAATATATCTTGTGTTTATTTACTAAGTGATGAATGTTGTTTATATAGCATGTAACTTGTTTTTCTAAATTAATGATTAAATTGTGTATGTTGCAGGTCCACCCAATTCCTATAGTGTCAATCCAACATACCCAAGTATAACAGATGGGCCAAATAATGCAATGAGCACTGGAGCCCCTGTAGCCTCTCCACACCCTATGATTGGGTCTCCTCACCCCATGATTGGGTCGCCTCACCCTATGATTGGGTCTCCCCCGGGTAGCTTCCAAGGTAGCTCTATAGACTTCCTTGGACCTCTGTCTCACATGAGTGATAACCTGGGGGGCAACTCTGACATGGTACCCGTACAGAGACAGCCAAATCACGCAGCTACTAACTCCACGAATCCACCGAGTGCTAACCCATCTACCCCTGGGAGTACCAGTCAGCCATTACGGCATCCCTCTGTCGGCCAATCAGGACCTCTAAGCAACCAACCTCTAACCCCATCAAGTTCCCATGGGCCACCCACCCCCAGTCAGCCATCTTACCCCAATGTCTCAACGCCATCTATGAATAATGTTCAACAAAATGGTGGCACAAGCGGGACAACGGACACTAGCAACGACTTGAACTTTGACCCTCAGGCAATCATTGATGGGGATGATGCGGGACAAGAAGGACTTGATGTGAGTTGAACATATTCCCTTTAAAATATACCATACTTGAAATACATGTCATGAAGCATAATGACATAGTTATGTTTTAATTGAGGTTGTGATACATTGTCAGATAAGTTAATCAGGCCAACTATTTGATAGTCTTTCTGAAGCAGATTTTAAATGTAACCTTAAAACTGCTTTCTAGTGAGAATTTTAAGTTTCATCTATATTAGTATGTGAATTGACAAGATTTTGATAAACTTTTTGATGTGCTTGTAATTTGCAATTTTGGCTGCGCATGTGTATATGCTGTATAAAGTGATCACAAAGTAAGATGAAAAGTTCTTCTATTGAAATAATAATAAAAATGTTTCTCTAATTTCAGTTACTTCCATTACCTGAGAACATTGGAGATACTTTAGAACTGTTATCCTACTTAGGCCCCTCTGAAGGGGACAATAGCAACAACACAAATAACACAAATAGCAACAGTGATGACCTGCTTTCACTGTTTGACTCATAATGATAAATGTCACACTTTTCATGGTGCCAGAGACACTTCGATGTGCATGACACTTCAAATTGACACTTCAGTTAGTGACACAAAACTCAGAGATTGACAGGGGTACAAGGAAATTTATATAATTATGTATTATTTATGATTTGATTCAATACATTTATTGAAGACATATTGTGAGTTGACACATTGTTGTGTTGGACACATTGTTGTGATGGACACATTGTGAAAGAGACACATAATGCAGAAGGATAATCAAAGAAATGATATCCTGAGAAATGACACAACTTAATGGTGCGAGACACATTGTTTATATGACACTTTGTATGAGTGAGTGACACTTTGTATGGATTATTGACACTTTGTATAGAAAAGATAAGTGGGACTTAACTGTGATTGAACAGATTGGTTGAGTATTAGAGTACATAATATTATTATAAGACCTAAGGTCACAGCTAAATACATAATTTATTGACAGATTTATATAAGCTGAGAGTAGCTATATATTGTTGGTGCTGAACGGAGCATTTAAACATGGAGAGCTGGTTGTTATGGAAACCAACTGGCTGCTATGTTATGTAACTAGCTACCCTGTTGTTAGGGAACAGAGGAGCGAAGTAAGGATCACAAATATTTATTACACATCATCACAAGACAAGGCATATCATCACTGATGTCTTGAAAGACACACTGTTGCTATAGAAACATGATTGTTGCCATGTTGGTTGCTATGACGACCATGTATAAAGAGACCAAATGAACAGTGGAACAAAGAAAGAGTGATAGGTTGTTCATATCACATCAAAATAACATTATGAAGGAGTTCTATTTTTTTACATAATTCAGTGTTGGTGCCAGCAGAAGTCAGAACACCCAGATGTTTAATTAGTGAACAAGTCAGCTTTTTGTATATATTTTGTATATATATTATATATAAACAGTGTAGTATATGTTACACTGCAGTAGTTTTCGTCCAGAAGAAGCCTCTTGCTTGTGAAGCCTTTTAGCGGCTGTTTGCTTGACAACGCTGTACATAGAGCCGATATTTTATTGCCATATATGGGATTGTACTATAGAAAACTGTAGATAGTGCAACATATATAATAATATATATTATATATAAAGTGTAGATATTATTTCTAAGATATATTCTTTATGTGACGTCTGCTCTGTGGTTCACAAAGTGGGCACTCAGTGGTGAATATATCCCATAATATCTGCTTAAATTAAGATTACCCACAATGCAACTGAGATTTGATTAAGTGAATACTCCAAATTATTGTATTGAAAGATTTGAAATTCAATAAAATTGTACATAATTTGTACAGATAAAACATTAGAACAATCATACATCCTGTAAGAAAAGGCAGACTCCCAGGTTTGAGATTTCACTCTGGCTAAATTTTTTCACATGTTCATCAAAATATATAGTGTAATGTGTAATGTTGCACCACACATACTGTTTAATATTTTAAAACTTCTACCATTCAAGTTTTGCAAAAGTGCTGAAACTGACCAAAAATTATGATAATCTTTGATCACTGTGAAATCATGTTCAAAGGTTAAGCAAGTATGGTGTGTCGTAAAGTATCATGGTGCAGTAAAGGCCCCTGTAAAACCAATGTATTTAAAATTGTTGACCATTTTTGTATGCAACGTTCTTGGTACTATGGCAACATGAGATTTCAAAAATCTCTCAAAACACCATGACAGGGAAATGTGACCTTTATGCACTTGAAAAATTGTAAATTTTAGTCCACTTTCTATCCTTTATATGTACGTGTGTGGTAGAGATAGGTGTAAAACCGCCTTTTTCAACTTTTTATATACTCACTTGAAGTCAAGTATTGCTAGGAATAGTATCTAAATATTTGTATTTATTATTTCTATATTATTTTATTTTTTGAATGAAATTTAAAGTGTTTTAGTGTACTTTAATTGATTGGAATGTGTTATGTTCCACTACAAATGCTGTTATCTTAAATCTCTCGCAATTCAAGCTCTCCAAAACATTATCATTTTATGTATTCTGTGGTTGCTATGGTAACTTGTGAACCATAGGAACCATGACCGTGGGCATTACCATATCAACAAATGTAAACAATCTGTTATTTATTGTTTCATCATTCATTTCATAAATATAATTGTTCATAAATGTTATGCCTGTGTATACTATGACAAGTTTTAATCCAATGGTATATTGCTCTCTTCTAAAGAGTCCAATAACAGAAATGTTATTATTTTAATGAAATAATTAATTAATAGAAATATTACTATGGTAATTATGAGCACAATAATCTCTCACTGCCAATTCTTCGATGTTTTTGTTAAACAAACTTTATGTACTTAGTTGCACAGAGCTTCTAATAAAACATATAATTTGAACATAATTTTCAGAAAATAGACAAACTAAGCAAAAAACTGAGCCGCATTAGGTTTGCAATATTCAATGTTCATGCAATTATAACTCCTCATGCAATCTAAAATTGAATAATAAAAATGCAATCAATGATTTTCAACTTCACATTTAAGTTTTCCATGTACTGTATAGTACTTTCAACACAAAGTAAGGTTTACAGACAATGTTTATGTATCACGACCAAAGCCTTCATAGTTTTAATGCTACAGAAGACTTGGGTGTGAGGTCTTATGACATTTCAATTTTATTTCAACTGAATTTGGAATGAATGATTATCATCGTGTATTTAATTTGTGTTTAAATATTGAATGACATTATTTTAAATTATATATAGGATCTGTGCAGATATTTGTAACATACATAAAATACATTTGTACAATTGTATATGTTCTACAACCTTGGCACAAACATTAATGGTAGACTATCTAAACTTTGTATCTCTATATGCTTTCATATTTCCATCAACACTTCAAGTTGAAACATCAAAATTATGTTTTCTTCATTGAACAACTTTTAGAGTGTCCTGACATTTGCACAGATCTTATGTATAGTAGATGTATGTGAGAATAGATGGCGCGTTAGAGAGATGACTTCACAATATCTGTGGCATATATTTATCTAATAAAATATTGTATATTGAACAAATATCATGAAAATTCATCGTTATGTTTTACTCTTTATTTGTCAATGACAGACCTGCCAACCTTCCATTTTTTCATGAATTTCCCTCTCATATGAAAAACCAAGGAGGATTGGATACTGGGCTTCCATATCGATATTCTGCCATATATGGAGATATCATGATATTACATTATTCAAATTCAAACAGCCTCTATTTTGTTCACTTCAGAATTGAATCCCAAGTTTTGGTCTTATTTCCAAAAAAAATCCAAAACACACCAAGAAGTAATTGACATATTGGTTCGAATCTTTTGAATTGCTTATTATGAATTCATAGTCGGTTATAATGTCAGAAAATAATGACATTCTGACATTTTCATTGTTGGAAAATATTGAGTTGCGTCCCTGGGAGCCAATCCTCCTTGATGAAACACTAATGAGTATCAGTTTTTAAAAAGTGATAGGTAACGATATCAAATGTATCTTCTGTTTCCAACTCGTTTTCCTAACTGTGTTCAATTTTTCATGACGCTGAAGACAGTCATATCCCTCACCACGAGTACTTTCTAGGCATCAATATATAATATTATTGTATGATCTGCAAAATGAAGCCCTCTGATTGGTCAGTTCTTGTGCTGTACCAATCTGTATTGCTAATGAGATTGTCCCCCTTGTTCATCTCCACAGTAATCTCAGTAGCAATACAGAGGATACAGAATATTTCTTAGGGATTATCTCCTAAGTAAAATATACTGACGTAAGATCACACGATAAAAGCGTTATTGAATGATTTGTTCTGTATTGGCACTCAACTTCATCTCGTTCCAATACAGAATTTCTTGAGCAGAATATATCCTGTATTGCACTTCACATCATTCAATAACTTATAGTACAGTGGTTATTGTTAAAACAATGTTTTTAAGTAACGTCACCATGAAGATAGAAATAGCAATAGAACAATCCGATAAATTATGAATAGGGAACCCATGTCAACAGTTTTTCCAGAATGTTGAACCTATTTACTCAAAAGAGGATCTTTTCCTGTTTTTATTGCAGGAAAAGACTATTCAATAACGAGTTCTAAAACTTCTTCAAAATTAGAATAATTTGAAGGTCTAGTTTTGAAGATTTTCGATGACCAAAATTATGCTGAAAACAATGGATAGCACAAGTTTTCCATATGGGAATATAACATGGGACATTTGGTTTATAACTTTAGTGCGTTTCAAACCCCATCCCCTTTTCAGGAAATGTTAATATAGTGTAGAAGAAACTTTTGATATGTTTAAATTGAGAAAAACGAGATCCTCTTTTTAGAAAATAAGCATTTTTAAAAAGTGCCAAGGTGGGGTCCAAATCCATTATTTTGTTGGATCAATATTTTACTATCATGGTGATTTCACTTGAAAGAAAACATATCGTTTTAATAAAACCCATTGTATTTATTGACCAGAAAGTACTCATGGGTAAAGATATGACTGTCCAAAATCACTAGCAATACCTTAAATGGTCCCTCCTAATGAAATATTTATTAGTGTTTCACTGGTGTCTTTTATCAATTTATTTATCCATTCCATGGACATTCTATATTCAAGTCTGTGGACATCCTGAGTCATTGACATTTTCAGTTGTCTGGATTTTCGTAATTTTGCAGCATCTAAAGACTTGGGATTTTCGAGATAACATGGCCAAATGTAGTCTGAACACCCGTTTGTCAAGATTGGAGCTAATTGTTAATCAAAATTCTCCAAAACAAATGTTGTTGTTGTTCTTTATTTCTATAGAACATTTCAATACAAAGACTACAAAAAAGCCAAAGTGAACATTATTGGCAACTCCTCCAAAACAATTAAAATGATTTCACTTTTAAAATGTGTCTATATAAAGTCTTCAATTGTCCCACAGGTGCTGTCTCAAAAGATCACCTTGTTTCAAAATATTGGCCATCTTTATTGTGGAAAAATCAGGTTTTAATCTCTCTTTTGGTCATAACCTCGAAAGTATTAAATCAATTTGATTGAAATATTAAAAAGATTCAATGAGATTGCTTGAGAGATTCAAAATGGCCACCACTTTTTTGAATGAGATTGCTTGAAAGATTCAAAATGGCCACCACTTTTATTGTTGAAATATTACTTCGGAAGTTATCCAAAATGCTTGATATTGTTCAGGCAGCTAAAGAGAATATATAGGCAGGTTAGCAATGACATCTATAAATAAACTTTGGCAAAATATCTAATGAAATACAAAACTGGCCGCCACTTTTACTACCACAAAGTCATGTTTACAGCTCTTTTTAACTCCAAAAGTATGTAGTCAACGAGCATAAAATTGTATATCTAATTTTCTATGTTAACAATAACATCTACAATTTTCCAAAAATATGTCACAAATATACAGAATGGCCATCATTTTTATAGACGAAATATAATTTTTTATTTTTTAAAAATTGAAAATTGAAAAGGAGAACTTATCCCCAGAGGACAATAATTCGGCATTCACGACAAGCTTGCCAAAAAAGGTTTAGCTTAACATCCTTATTGATACATGAAGTATCATACATGTCATATGGAGTCTAAATATCTTTTTGGTCTCTGACTTAAATGTATGTGAAATAAAATTGTTAACTTAGAACTCTATCCCTTCTAGTTCCTTTAAAGAAATGTATAGTTCATACGTATGTTATCCATTAACTACCAGTATATCTTCATGCATCTTGACTTGTGCGATGCTATTTTAATTGGAAAGCCAATGTATAACCTAAAGTAGACTTTAATCAAATATATTCTTGGGTAACCTTATAGCAGTACATGGTACTGACATTGCAGGAGCAGAAATCTTTGCAACAATGTCCCACTCATTTGTGTCTATATTGTAGCACAATACATCGCTTCTTTTCTGGTTATCATCATAGCTGAAACCACCAACCAGGTAGACCTTTGTTTCAATCAGTACCGCATTGATGCTGCTGGTTTTAGGGCTATTCTGGGATATAATCGTCCACTGATTCAATTCTATGTTGTATACTTCGATGTTGGGGACATCATAAGCTTTGAAGAGATTCTTGCCGTAACCAGCTATGACGTAGAGTTGGTCTTGATATGTGCACATTCCATGATCCATCCTGCATTGTAGCATTGGAGATTTCTCATGCCACGTGTCTTGTTTTATATTATACATCCATAGTTTATTAGACACTGCATTGCCTGTATGTTCCCCTCCTGTGATATAAATGTTTCCGCCATGGTGGGAACTAGCCAGACCCTTGACTGGAATAACAAGCGGTTTACATGGCAACCACTGATTCCTTCTTGGAGAGTATCGCTCGACAATACCCTTAATGGAACCACTACTTACACCACCTATTGCAAACAGGGATTTATCATCAGATGCTAAGGCAAAATCATGACGCGGTTCCTGCATCGAGGCTACCATTTCCCACTCATCAAATCTTGGGTCATAACGGTAGCACTTTGCGGATACAGGATGGGCACAGGAGAATAGTTCAATTCCCCCACACATGTATAGATAAGATCCTATAGAGCAAGTCTCTCCAAGGTATGTTTCTAGGTTGCAATTGTATAATGTGTGCCATGAATATGTCTCCACATCAAGGACATTTGTACTCTCAAGTCGTTCACTGTCCTCAATATCAAAAGCAATAAGACTCAATTGTTCATTTCTGATCTGCATGCGTGGAGACACCAATGATGGCCTCCTAACAGGTAACATGTGAAATGAGTTTGCCTCAAGGATGAGTTCTAAACATTGCATGTTCTCCTTCATCATTGGTTCAGTCATGACCTTCTCCACTAGATCGACAGGGGACATCAATGGGAACCGTACACAACTCATCAGGCTGTATATATACTGCAACCTGTTTGGGCTATCAAACCGTATCCATGACAACACAGTTTCATAAAGTTTCAACTCAGATGAAATCCTCAGGCTATCTTTGACCAGGATCATTGTCAAGAATTTGGCACTGAATTTCATTAATTCTCCATTGTCAGTGATATCTTCAAAATGACTAAGAATGTATCCCATAGCTTTATCTTTGACCTTCTGAAGATCAAAATGGTCTCCAACATTGTACATATCTGTGCAGTTTTGCCTGTCTGTTAGTTCCTCTAGATAGTTATTGCACATGTTGATGGCATCAGTTACTTGAAGATGGGTGGCGGCTATAAGAACATCGGATATATTATCTAATGTGCATCTTAGTTCTCCGCTATAGATAAAATCTAGGAGAATTGTCAGTCCTTGTGCTGGAACACCTAATAACTCGATAACATTCTTCCCTTTCTCTTGCATGTCAATAGTAAACATAGCTCGGAAGTAATCGCTACATCCAGCCAAAACAGCCTGGTGAACTTTGAATTCATTTTTCTCTGCCACTAGTGTGAAGTCGCAGAGGACAGCTGTGTCACGCATGTCCTTCAGTCCTGTCAACAGACTCGAAGCATAATTTGTGGACTTAAGGAGATTTGAGGCCATCTCCTACAAATAAAATAAAATAAATCAGTTAAATACAGAGAACCAGTATAACAGTGGTATATTTAATTCATGTTTCGACATAAGTATCAGTTACAATTTGGCTAACCCCATAAATGCACACGGAATCGCATGGAGGGTTGGGCAGAGTCCTCGTGAGTCCTCAAAGTGTCAATTTTTAGATTGAAGACTTAGAAGACATATGAGGGCTCTGCCTGATCTTCCATTACCTGTGCATACATGTGAGCATGATTTACGTTTTTTCTTATTTTTGACATTTTTTAAGCAAACCAATCACAACATGTGGTATAAGTAGAATTCTCCACAGTAATTTGTTATCATGGGCAGGTATAGCATTTTTTCAAGAATGTTGTTTGAAAAGAATAACCTTAAAGGCTACAAATGGTGTCAAGTTTATGAACAATCTTGTGTGAAACGAACATCTTCCATGTCCAATATTTAGACTACTGTATGAGATGGTTCCGAATAAAAAAAATGTAAGAAATAAAAACCTCACATAAGAGCCTCACATGATTTACAATGTATGGGGGTGAAAATGCATTGAGATGGTGACCAACCACACAAACTCCAATTGCAGTGTCTCGGAACAGACAATGCGACAGGTAGATGGAGAAATAACCAAAAATAGTCCCATTTTCATCATAGATACTGTACAATATAGTCAATTTTATGACATACTGTATGTCTTTTACATTCTCCAGTAATTATTTCGTCAAAATATATCAAAAAATCATGAAATATACAAAGAAATATCTACGGAAGGTTTTAAAAATTTGTTGTTAATAGTTCACTCCACGTGTGTTAATTAGTGCAATGCAAATAATCATATTGTCTTTTACAGTCATATGGCACGAGCATAGGACAAGAACCAATCACTACGTCAATTATTTATGTGAAGTTACCATGCTTACAGTGAAAGGTGAAACTAAGGTCTGCCCAATGCAGTGTTATGTTGAAGACTTACACTGCCACAGGCAAGAATCAAGAGATCCCAATAAAATAATTCTCATCTTTATCGTCCAGATTTTGCAGTCATACAAGCCCGAGAGAAGGTGTGCTACTCCGTGTTTATAGACATGGGAATTTCAAAATGAGCATTGACCCCATGCTTCCCGTTTCGATCATATTTTTAAAAAAAACTAATTTGCTACATAAATATACACATTATGTATGTCTTCATGCATGAAATCTATGCATTTAATTACATATAATAAAAAGGACAGAATAAGTTTTTTTCTTGAAATGTATACAGGAAGCATAATTGAAATCCCAAAGCAATCCTTATATATGAATAATGGGAAGTTGCATACCCTTCTCTTGAAAGCCAATGTGCAAAATGTAAGATAATTTGTAAAATCGGATGTGCTTTGCCTTATTTTCCCCGAATAGTACAGTCATATTGCAGACGCATGCGAAACCAACATAAAGACATGTAATGGGGATTTTACATTCATAACCTGGTGTATATAATCAGTTTATTGTAGAACTTCCTTATCCCATGCCAGGATTGATAGTCCTAAGAATGTCTCAGGCAATCTTTTTCCTGTATGATCAAAACATGGGAGAATAATCCATGCCTTAAGGTCAGGGTGCATGATGGGAAATTTTCTGCACTCCTCAATTGAGTCACATGTTATTTTTCAAACAAGAATCACTCCTTCCCCACATTGTCTATATCTTCCAGTTTTGCACAAAGAGTGCTCTTATGTGCCTAGAAAAGACTTGTGAGAAGGATGTTTTGATAAAGTGTATAAAAAGCAAGAAAATTCAGGGAAAAAATTCAGAAAATTTTCAGAAATTTTTTTCACTGAATTTTCTCGTTTTTTATACAATTTACTAAACATATCTTCTCATAAGTCTTTTCTAGGCACATAAGTGCACTCTTTGTGCAAACCTGGAAGATGTAGACAATGTAGAGTGATTCTTGTTTGAAAAATAACATGTGACTCAATTACTCAGATGCGAGTAGGTAGTTACCAGTTTCGCCACCAGGTGGCTGATTCGGGGGAATTAACATGGCATGGTATTACAAAATTCCTTTAAACTTGCATATGCATCAGTTTTAGTGGTTCACTTTTCATATTACCTTTATGTATCTGATAGTTATACAAATTAAAATATGTCCAGTAAAAGAAAATATTATCTACCCAACACAAGAAAAGATATTTCACCTTTTGTGGTTTTACAACATGGGGTCTATGGGGAATCTCCCCGACCTAGAAGTCACATTTTCAAAGGAAATTAAATTTTCAAAGTTGATAAACTCTTTTCAAAACCACATTTCTAAATGTAATTTTACATGTAGATTCCAAATATGACATCAGTTTGACTGAATTGTGAATTTTTAATGACTTAAATCAAGATTATTTCTACTCGCATCTGGGATATTGGGGAATGCAGAAAATTTCCCAACATGCACCCTGTCCTTAAAAACCTACTTCAATAAATCTCGGAATATTTTAGGGATTCTTTTTATGCATTTAAATCCCAAATCGTATGTGTTATCAGCAGAACAGTACGGGCAAATGTTTGCGACGTTCTAAGGACTATACTGTAGTCCTGTGACGGGATAACTTCACATTTTCTATGGCCACGGAAGAGTATGCCAACCACAGTCAATGTAAACAATGAACGAAGAGATAGAATCTGATTTGGATTTTCCCAAAATGCAACTGACTGCAAAGATGAAAAACAAATCTGAGAGAAAATGAAAATATGAAAAAGAAATAGATCTAGCCTAGATGACACTTATTTCGATGAACAATGCACATTATGACACCAAATACAAACCTCTATTCCACGTGGTATGTGTAATATGCGTGCGTGTTATTTTAAACTTCGAACAAATCCACATAAAACAGTATTTTATGAAAACATTTGAGAAATTTTAGGAAACAAAATGTTGACATTTACATCCGCCATGTTTTGATCACGTGACAACCACTTGCTATAAAAATATGATTTTCCTGTATTTTACAATGTCTCAAACAAATTACTATGAATAAACGATAAACATAGAGTACTAACATCATACTTCTCTCAATCTAATCAAACCCAGGCGTACATAAACAGTTTTAAGAGAAGATATATCACCTTGACTAATTGACCTACTTCCGTGACCTTTGACACTTCATCAATGGCGGCGGATTTGTAGAAGGAACTTCGAAACCTCTCACAATTTCCTCAATAAAGTTGGCAAAACAACTTTTCTGAGCCATTTAAGTCGATAAATAGCAAGATAAACTATTGGAGAAGTGACAAGGCTTTGTTTTTAACGTTGATTAAGACGTTAACTTGTTGGTAAGTAATGTTTTACTTGTGAGTGATCATTTTTGTAGGCGTTGGTTCAAAGACAAACTAAATACTGCTTGGGATTTCCACTTTATTGCATGGCATCTATTTCTGTTTCTTGGAAATTTGATTTTGACTCATAAGTATCACGTGTTGTCTAGCTTCGTGGTTTCCCAATGCAGAGCATGTCGATAACGACTGTGACATGGACACCAGTCATTTTGAACGACAAGCTGACAAGTGTCAGAATAGAAGTCAACACATTTGATAAATATCCGGAATGTTCATGGAAATTGCAATTTCTGTCGTTTCATCAAAATATTGAAGCATACAAAGCAAAGTTTCCTGTTTCAGCTTGCAATTGATAATAAACCCAAATTAAGATCAAGAAACATGCTAGTAGAATATTATGCAGAAAAAGTTCCTGCTTATAAAGGTTCATAATTTTTTAATGCAGAATAAGTCTTTTTTCATATAAAACGGGAATGTGTGATGTTTGTAAACTTTTCAAAGCTAATTCTGCTTAAGGACTGCCTAAAACTGGATAATTTTCATCAGTTTTCTGGGTAGAAATAGATTACAAACTAGATCAACATTATCAAATTTTCTTCTGGAAATGAGGTGGCTAATACAATGGAGATCAAAAAGCTGTAAAAACTTTTTTCATATGGTAAAGTTTGTTTGTTTGTTGACACTTTATAATCACCTCTTATTCCCTTGCAGTTTACAAATAGAATTACAGAAGTGTCTTTTGTTATTTCAATATGATGATAAGTACTTACAATATTACCTAATATAGAATATAACTCATAGATTGCAATTGTATTATGTGTTTTAATTCATATGTTACAAAGCATGTCAGTTAAACTATTTTTTTAGTGCCTAAGAACCGTGATACATTGATACACAGAGCACAGTAATATGTGTATGAAGCTGTCTTTTACAAAATCAAATTATCAGTAGAGCAAGTAGAACTTAAACTTCATAAGCAATAGATATAATTAAGAAGTACTTGTAATTGTCCTCTATGGCAACCTGATTACAACAATTTAATGCTAATGAACTAATATGTCATCATTCAACCAGTTATTATTACTGGTATATATTAAAACAGCAGTGTGCAGTTTATTAAAGATAAACTTTGATCATTCTGTATTTGGAAAATAATGAATAAACAGTGAATTTCACAATGTCTCCTGTAACTTCATGATTTAGCATAATCCTTATTCTCTAATAAACGCCTGTGGCTCTTAGGAAATTCAAAATACCTCATTCTGACCATTCTAATTCCTTGAATTATGAGAAGCTTATTAGTAGGTAGCCCTTTATTACAAAGGACAGATAGAAATAATAATGTTTTGCAGCAGATTGAAGCTACCCTAAGATCTCCATCTGTCCATATCAATATGTATTTGCACTTATTTTGTTCAATTGTTAGTCCAACAAACAAAGTTTGGTAGGGATATAGTGAAGCCTTCCATCCGTCAGTCAGTCTGTCAGTCCAACCATCCAGATGATAACTTCGTATTTGATGGAAAGATGTATATTGGTATATAGTTTTAAATCGGCATCTACTTGTCTTTCATTTTAAACCAAAGTAATGAATAATTTTGTTTGAAATGTTGGTAGGATATTCACAACATCTCTCTATTTCACATATTTCACATATATTCTGTGTTTTTTACCCTGACCCTAGTATATGTGTGTATGGAAGGTCAGGATCTTTTTGAAGTATAGCTTTATTATACTCAAATGAAAGGCAATTTTTTGAATCTCCTAAATGGTCACCCAAATGCTTAAATCTATGGAAATTCTGCTATGTCTCTTTTATATGTCTTTTAATATTTGCCAATTATATCAAGTGTAGAATAGATGGTAAATATTGCATTGTGACATATATTTGTATATAGATTTCATGTATATTGTGTTTTTGGGGATTTGCTACTCCGTGGAGTTGCCGATTTCTAGTTTACTCTATGACTTATTTTCAATTCATACATATTTATTATATGTGCTTATAATCTGTTATGAAAGTATGTGGATATAAGAAGTTATTAGGATTGTGGTCATCAATACACATGCACTGTAATATTAGCCATATGTTCATGTGGTGAATTTTCCCAGCTGTTTTTCTTGAGTAACTTATGGTGTTACATGTAGCAGATCAGTTGTTTTGTGAACTATGGTGTATTGGTGCTTTATGTTATTAGTGTATGATGCATAGTGGTTATCTCATTTGGGGAATTCCTTTCTTGATGTAATCAGCAGTCAAAACAACCAAATCATAAATAGTCTAGCTATAAGCCTCTGTGACCCCACCCCTCCCCCTACTTGACTAAACATCTTCTACACAGTTGTAGCAGGGAGGGGAGGGGTCCCAGAGGCTTGTAGCTTAATTAAATCATAAACATCCAGATCCTCTTATTATATAGGCTTGCTCATTTTAACGTAATACATATCTTCCTCTTTTGACGCCAGCCTTTCATGTTTCTTGGAACAAGATAACATCATACCTTAAACAATGAACTCCTCCGGAAGCTTAAAAGCTGGGATGATCAAATTAATTAACGCTTTTCCCATATTATAACAATGGTGTATTGAGCTATTGATGCCTTTCCTTTTGAAATATATTAAGTCAAGATGATTATTTTATGATATAAATGATTCGAGTCAAAAAAACCTGTAAGCTTTATTTACAGCCAATGTGAGGAATTCAGTACGAAATGAAATTATAGTGTCTTGCATCAAGCATTTAGCCTCAAATGCATTAATGTGAAAATTGCCTCACTAGAAAATTTGCCTGGAAACATACTCTATCAAAGAGTGACAGTAAATGTGATATAATTGCTATAATTAAAGATAAACTAATTGATTTAAACCAGTGCCTGGTCCAGAGTTCATCTGTCACACAGGATGTGTAACTTCATCTGCTCTCAAAGAATATCTCGCATCATTTAGAATTATCCCAAGCAGATTTAGTTTTGCATGTTTCTATTTAATAAAACAGTTGTGTTTCACATATTATATTCCTTGTCTAATTTATCTTTTTGATGTTATACTGTCAAGCATTATTTGACCTTCTTACCCCCCCCCCCCCAACTTCTCATGGGAATGTCTGTTTGCTGTGTTTAGGGTCAGTACAAGTACAATATCTAGGATTTTATGATTCTACATGTAGTCTTCTTGACTACTTGACTTGAGGTATTCTTTTTTCAATTGAATTTTTTTTTCATCGATTAGCATGATTATACAATGAACATATTTAAAAATATAACAGATGAAACCATTTCTTTTGTTTTTACCCTTACATGATAAAGCATAATATAATGAATATTAAAAACAAGGTAAGGTCAAAGAATCAGTGTCATAGTTATGTTTTGTCTACAATATAACAGAAGGGGACAAAATAAAGCCAGTGTAGTGAAAAGCAATGAAACTTTATTGTGAGTCCTTGTATATAAGAGTGAAATGGAAAGAATGTCTTGAAAGAGTTGATTGTTGGCTGAATGATATCTCCTTTAGGAGACTTTTCTCTTCAAGGAGATGATATACATGTTTTGATATATTGGCCTTGATCGTTAAATTAAAAGTAAAGCATACACTTACAGTTTCACTCATCATAGCACTGCATAGCTTTATAACAATAGCAGTGAATAACATTTGCAGGGATTCCCAATTATTGCCATGGTACAAACATTACTACATCATTGTTTACTGTGTTTACTCGATCTAGTACTAACTCCAAAGCCTTTTCTTTATGCAAGAATTAGAAAATGAGAAATAGAGCTAGACTAACTTAGCAATTTCAGTGAAGGGTGAACTGAGGTAAACTGATTTTATGATTTCCAGGATTAAAAAAAATCCAGAGATCAATATAAAGCAACAAATCTGACCACTCGTCGTGAGTTCTGGAGTTCTGGTTCTAAGCTAGAGATCAATATATGTCACATAAAGCAACAAATCTGACCACTACATGAGTTCTGGTTCTATTAGCTAGGTGTAATGAAGTATTCACATATGGAGCAGCGTTGTTTGAAATAGCTGAAGATGTTTGTTTTGGCCTGTGTTCTTCGGATTAATGGAATTAACACAGTTGTCCAGATGGTGGATAATCTAGGATTCCAAAGATCTGAAATTAGAGAAATTTCCATTCTCTTACTATATAATAGGTCAATTTAATTGTTAAAGGCACATATAGGTGTTAAAAAGAATCAAGAATAGGATCTAATCTAATTTATCATGTTTTGTTTTCTTATCTATTAAACTATTTAGCTAGACCTGCAATATACTTTACATAATCACAGATACTAAAATTCCATGATTCCGCATTGCTGCAGAAAAAGCGCAGAATTTTGATTTTCAACATTTTTCCAGAATTTGATTTTTTCACACAGAATTCTATGGAAAACTTTTTTCAGTCATTTTTCCAGTCAACCACCTTAGACAGTCATTTATCATCAAAAACTGGTGTTATAGGATTTCGAAGGGGAAATGTGGAATCTTTAAAATGCTCCAACTTCCGGCTATTACACTTAAAGATTATGTCTAATAGGTCACGAAATTTGAATTCCCTGCAATTTCTTGATAGTTCAGATGAAATCGTTGCTTGCAGATTTTATCACAGAATTCAGAATTTCATGCAGAATTTGCATTTTTCTCATGCAGAAAACTAGGATGTGTGCATAGTACAAGAACCTTTAAGCAATTCTTGGTCACTGTTGTTACAAAGTTAGGAATTAAAGATGTTTTGATTTCAAGAACTTTGTTTGTGTGAGATCCACAGTAGGAGTCCTATCATGTCATTTCTACCAAAATATTGGTGTTTATTTGATAGCACTGGGAATCTTTTAGAAAATAGAAATCTTTGAAGGGAGTGAAGTTAGTATCATAACATACATGTATTTGTGAATTGTATTGTGGTTGGTAAGACTATATTTTGTTTCCAAAATATGGAAAATATGTAATTTCATATTTATTGCCTATTATGCTTATTTTATATGCATTACATA